GCAGTTCTTAAACACAACTAGCAGTAGCACAGCGACGGCAGCGACGATCAACAGGCGGGCAACGGGACAAGATGAGGACACAGCGATGTTTCGGATAACTAGGATTTTATCCTCCCTGGGGCGCCTACATAGGCTACATTAAACTGGTAGAGGGGGTGAATTATAGTTTAAACCGTATACGTATACGTAAATCAACCACCGGAAAAACTGTGCTTGATGGACGATCTCCACACCCACAGCGTCGATTTCAAAAAAAAAATGACCTTTAAGTTAGTGCTGAGTGAATGGGGCTGGTTTCGAAAAATTTTAAACACTTTGAAGTGAGTGATGGATTTTTCCATTCAATTGAGTTAATAATAAATAATAATTCCCGTGCGTTTGATGTTGACAAAACAAACAGCATGATGATTTAATATGGAAGATAGGAATGTATTTTAAATATTAATATCCGCTATATTGGCCACTAATGCAAATGAGCAAAGTCTAATTGCCAATAATAGACAAAATAGCGTTTTTGCGGAAATTTTTATTTCGCTATTCAGCAACTTTTGCGTGCTTTAATGGTGGGAATTAAAAAGGGGAATTCGTGCATCATTAACATAAACGAGGAACATGTAAAACACGCGGAATAAAAACGTTAAAACGCCATTAAAATACGAGCATAAATTATAATTTAATAGGGGGGTATTTAAATCGGCCACTTTATAGCCGAATTTACATCAATGCAATTTATACCAAAAGAGTCTTAGGCTCGACTGAATAAATTCACATTAACCGCATTGGAATAAACGTGCTGGCCTGCAAATGACCATTTTGGTCAGTGATTATTAAATTGAATTTTCACTGTCTTTTCAAGGGGCCACCGATTTGGTCCCAAACCGCCTGGTAATTAGCCAGTTTTTTGCACATTACAGATTCACACCCTCATATTAGTGAAGAACCAAAGAAGGGCGACAAGAAGTTTTCCTGTGTAACATTGCGCATTTATCGCCGATCCTTATAAGAAATGGTATCTAGACAAAGAGTGGGCCAAAGTTTCGAATCGCACATTATAGTGGGCCCCACAGAAGCGTATTTGAATATTTCGCTACACTTCTTGCAAGCAAATGGATAACTTTCATTGTAAATACGCAAACAGTTTCCGACAGTTTCACTGTGCTTTAAACGACTTAATTTTTTTTTAAATTAACAGCGGATTTTCTTGCTTATCTGAAACTTTCACTGACCGCAAATAAATAAAGATCTGTTTAAAAAAATTGAATTATTAGTGCCCGATTCAAGATGGAAAAGAGCGATTTTACTATTTTACATGAACAACATCACAAAAGCATCACAAATTCGTTTAGTGCTTTATCAGTTTAACACAAATTGGTGGACTTAGAGTTTTGCCGAGTTTTATCGTTGATTTCTAGCGTTGCAACTTTTTTAAATGCACTGTGGGTTTGTAAATTTGTAAACCTTTAAAATGTTTGCATTCAAATTTGCTGTAAATGCGCGCCATGGAGGTTTTACAAATACCAATGCAAGTTTATGAACATTAAATTTCTGAAGTTTATGGATGAATTCGATTTTAGTAGGTTTTCAAGATTTGCAAATTTTATGAGCTTGACAAAGTGCACTTCTTGCATGAAGTCGGATTGAAATTCAGCCATTTTTTTAAAGTCGCTTGTAAGTTTGCAAACTTTATGGTCGATTTTTTGCGATTTTTACATCCTAACGTAAAAAGTAATTATTTTTCAAATCTCGACTCTCTTGGATCGAGTGCATCCAAATACTCATTTTTAGACCTCATAGTTTAAAAGAATATCGAGAAAATTTACTTTCCGAAAAACGCTAAATATATCGAAAACTATAGCAGCTGGGTAAGATCTAATCATCATCATCACCAGTCGATCGATCTAATAAAGCTGCGCAAAATAGGGTTTGTTAATAATAAGCTAATTTCGTGAAAATGTTTTGGGAAAATTTTTGAAAATTTGGCTAGTTGCTTACTTGATGTGACTCATTCACACGACGCGTTTGAGACAACTTATATGTGTCTTTTCCATGGTCGACTTCAAAGTCCCCGCCGCCCTAAAAAGGGCATCTACCCAATTTGTTAGCAAAATTGCTCATTTTGCTTCCGAGAAATGAGCAAAAATGGGACGGAAAACATGAATATTTGGTATAATTTTGCACCTAAGTGTGTAATAATTCAAATTTCGCTTTCTTGATCAAAACTGCTCGAATTTCTCCACTCATGTTGTTATCACTCAATCGAGTTTTCATTTCTTTATCCAGCGATGCCAAAACAAATTATGTGGCACAAATGTTTCTTGAGAAACTTCAACAAAAGCGGCGTCATGTTTGAGTCGATGTTGCAATGCAAATCTAAAGCTTCTTGAAATCAACACTTTTTTGAGAAAACTGCCAATATTTCGTTATCGATGATGGTTCACTTTCTAAAAATGCCATTTATTTCTGTAATTATTTGATATTCAAATTTCGCTTTCTGGGTCAAAACTACTCGAATATCCTCACTCGTGTTGTTATGAATGAATCGAATTTTCAATTCTCTATCAAACGATGCCAAAACGAATTCTGTGGCTCAATGTACCATAATTTTCAGGATTTAGGTCCGCCTAATTCCTCATTTAGTCAATTATAAGGCGAATGATTCTTTCCTAATTGTCTAAAAAATTTGACCAATTGCTGAATTAATAATTATAGTGGCAAGTGCTCCTTTGTACTGTTATATTTTTATTAGAATTAAAGAAAATCAGCCTTCAAACGCTAGACCAATACGGACCGAATGATCATGTTTTAAACAACAATACATTTTGGTTTGACGTTTTAATTAATTTAAATATAATTCAAATTTAATGCTTTTTTTGGCTGTTAACGCTGCCATTGGCTAACGAATGCTAATTTGACCCAAACAAACGCTGATTTAAATGTGCATTTGTTACACTGTGTTGTTGCAATGGAGCCTAGAAAAAACTGGTAAACAAATAGCTAGTATTTACTATAAATATCGATAATTTATTTGAATGTATTTTCTTTAATACTATATTTGGTTTAAAAAATTGAAATGCCATTTCAATAATTAGTACAGTTATGCAAATACTTAAAAAACGAATAGTTTCTGATCAAATGGCGAATGAGCCGCTTAAGTACATTCAAGTACTCAAAAGCACCAATTAAGCTAGTTATTCTAGTTTTTCTATTGGCATAAGTACACCTGATACATGGAAGAAGCGGCCTGTATAATAAAGGGCCATCGGAGCTGTGTGTGGATAAATAACAAGTGAATATTTATCATCACAGATGAGCCAGCTCAGGTTCCTAATTCGAGCCCAAAGCCACTAAATCTCCCCCCGACGGTCAATTAAACCACTTAGCCGGAATATTTATGGGACTTTTAATAAGCAGGTATATTTCCGTAAATTATCGCGAATCGAAACATTTTAACTAGATGCCATTGGAGACTATCAGTATTCGGCCAGCGCCACAGCACATAATGATTTAATATTTTAACAACTTGAAGAAATGCAACCCGTAAAATATACGTCGGCAAAAGGAGTAGCTGATGGCAGCTTACGGAGCTTCTCCGGCTTTTATTGTTCCGGGACACACGATACACAATGAATTTCTTTATAACTTAATCCTTATTTATTGTCGGTATAAGGCTTGGTAGCGTGCCAGGATTTTTAATCGGCATATCATTTTCCAGGAATCCGTTCCAATGTTCTGGATCGGATAATTAGGGGTTTGGCAAATTATTAATTTGGATGGCAACAGTCCTAAAATTCTTTATCTAATGGTGGATGCAGTATTAGGTCATTTATTGTTTAATCACGAGTCTTAAAATTTACTTGACTTTCAATTCAGTCACTAATATCACAATAATTCGAAATTTTCTCAGGCATTAGATGGCGGCGTTTGGTTGAAGTTCAACTCCTGCGGTGACGGCAAAGCGGGCTTTGCATGCGGGAATGTCTCGATATCGCTCCAGCAACCCTTTAACGATATTTGCATAATTTTTTTCATTTTCTTCAATGAAACTCTCACGCCATCCCTCATTCTGCGCTGTTTTGATCCCCGGCCAGTGGCAAAGAAACGCGTTGTCCAGGGTCGTGTAACTGTAGTCTTCCAGACACATTTCCAATGACTATAAAAACCGATTTGATTGAGGACTACCTGCTAAAAAGCAAACAATTACCTGCGCCATTTTGTCCTGAAGCCCCTCCCACGACAATTGCTCACTGTATAGGGGCTCCAGATTAGTGCCGATGAAAATCGGCTCCCATCTATGGAAGGGATCATGCCGCTTGACTGTCTGAAACGGCTGCAATTCAACAGTTCCAGCACTTTTAAGTTACAACTCCAGAATACTAACCTTGACTTCATTGAAGCTTGCGCTGCTGATCCACTGGTCAATGTTTGGAAACTTCTGGCAATGCTCGCAAGTGGTTTGATGGAAATACACCGCCTGTTTGGTCTGGATCAACTGAACCAAAGATGACTTATCTTCAGGCACAACAGTGCCTTCCGCCACCTCAAAGATTGGAACGTGGAACACTTCTTTGGTGATGGTTCTGTTCACGCGGTGCACCATCTGGAGAAAACCGCTGGCCAGACCTGGAGCACAGAATTGAAAACACGGAAAATGGGAGGACGAATAGTACCTTTGCTGGGGATTAGTTCACTGTCGGATAGAAGAATGTACTTGGTCAGAGCTGATGTTCGGGCTGCGTTTCTGACCACGTTGATTGGATAGAATATTGTTTCGTCGTAGTCGCTGAAAATGGGAACAGCCGAAGAGTCCTGGAATGCGAAAGTATAGAACGTGGAAATATTCAATTTGATCAGTGTGCGAGAGCAAGAGGGTTTATTAGGCTCCTAACTTAAGTGAAGCCGGACGTTTTGGTGGATGCGAAATCAAAGGAAATTTAGCCTGAAAACTGCCTCATTATTGTTGGCACTTGCATTCTTATTAGGCAAAAGTAGGGAATGCTGATCCGCTTTTTGCACAGCTGAATTACTTGTACGTATTTTAGGGTCTTAATAGTGTGGGCTGCCTAGGCCTTAATGTAGATTAGTCATGAATACGACAGGGTTGCGTCCTGTCTCCGCTCCTCTTTTACTTGTACTCCGAGTCCATATTCAGAGAAGCATCAGACGAGACCTAGGCAGGAATCAAGATCAACTAAACCACGATAAGTACATCAGTTATGCTGACGACACGGTCCTAATAGCAAACAACGACAAGATATCCAAAATATTATCAAAGTAGTAGTGCGTCACAGCGCAATGTTCGGATTATTTGTGCATGTTTCAAACACCAAAATAATATTCGTTACAGATGAAGTTCGTCCTGCAGTTTCCAAAGCTGCAATCACCATTCGGATCGTGAAGCTTCGGAAGCGGATGATCAAACAGCCGTAAATGCAGGAGGAGTTTCATTGCAGTCGACTGCTTGCTGTAGTCAAATCATCAGATTGAAAATCAAAAGACTCACCTCAGGCACACAATCTTGCGGCCTATCAAAGTAGATGTCCTTCTTAGAGAAGGGTAGCATCTTGTGAGTAACGATATGAATGGAAACGCGATGCATTTCCGGCTCACAATAGCAAAATTGGTTGATTTGCTCGATAAAAAAGGCCACATCCAGGTCCGGGACAAAGGCCGCAACCGTTACCAAACCGTCCCAATGTCTGGAAACTACCAAGATATTACCCGCTTTCGAGTAGCTGATTATCTTACTTTAGCAATTCCGGAATGAAATGTGCAAAATTGGCAGTCATGTGTGTGGCGTAGGTGATTGGAGGTACATCCATCAGATTGTAGGCCTCAGTAACGTTGTAAATTATTCGGTAGGGTGAGCTGTTGCCCTGTTCCGGCGGAAACAGGTAGTTCTTGCTGGTATAAACCAGGTCATACGGGAGATCGTAGTTGTATTTGCAGTGCGACTGATTGGTAGGGGCTGGTTGATAGTATTTCAAGTAGGCTAAAAGACAAACCAGACCAGTCAAACAGGTTTATTTAGATAACAGAGAACATTTGTCAATCGTAGGTTAGTAGAGACTGGGTACCTCCAGGTAGGCTGTCGTCTGGAGGCTCGTCAGGGTCCTCCTTTTGCTCCACCTCGTTCGCCTGTTCTTCTCCACCGTCTTCGGCTTGCACTTCTGCAATATCCTCTGCTTGTTCATCTTCAATTTCTTCCTCCTGTCGCAGCTCTTCGTTGCCTTGAAGTTCCTTCGCTTCGGATTCCGCCGTTCCACTGTCCACTATTGCCTATCAGGGTGAAAATTAAAATAGTAACTTGCCAAACTGGTGAATGCGCCACAAATCATTTAAAAATAAGGTCATTTGAATGTCCGTGACTCATTGAACAACAAACCTGAATGTTGTCGTCAAATGAGGTCTCGCTTTTAAAGTTGATCAGTTGGGACGTTTCGTAAATGCGGTTCCTTGTGACCAACAGCAGGCAGATGACTGCCAGAAAGGCGATCAGAGCAAATTTGAAGAAACGCGGTGTGCGGGACATCGCGCTCAAACAGCTGTACCTGTAATACGGGTCTCCTTCCATAGTTATTGTCCCCATTCTAGACGAAATAATATGGCTCTACTCACTTATGTGACTATTTAAATGCACAAATTCCCAATTGATTGACACGAGGACTAGCCACGTCGTTGTTTTCGAAAAAAGTCTGCTAATTGATTACTAACATCATCAAATACTGGCCGTATTTTGCTCGGTAAAAGTTTTACTTGTTCCAAATATTAGCTATCTTAAGCTCCCGCAAACAATCGCGGGATTATTAGATGAATTACATAGTAGTTATGGGTGATACCGCTTTCCTGATTAAATGAAAAAGATTCTAGCAAAGCGATTAAGGAGCCAGGTGAAGTTTTATCAGTCTGCCTGCATTATCAAATCCGCTATAATAGACTTGGCCTTAGTCAGTTATGGGACCCACTTGGGAAAACTCTCCTAATGGAAAGCCGCACCTCGAATGGAAACAGTCAGGGGTTTAATTCCACCACTGTTTTTCCATGTTCAATCAGTCAAGAAAGTGAAGCGATGCGACGTCGTAACGTCCAGCGCCGCTTCATTGACGTGTTCACCCGCAAAGAACTAAAAAACATGCAACGTTTCGTCTTTTGGTTACCTCTTTAGGTGTCATCGGTGAAGTCGAGGGAAGAACCAGTGAAGGACTTTATTCAACTTAATTGTGATATACCGGGTGTAAATTAAGGGTAAAAGAAGATTTTTAATTTAAGAACCTTTCTGAATGTTTTTTTATATTTGTGGTGAGAGTCGATCGTTGGTAAAGTACTATATACAGTGTGGTCAAGAGCGGAGTCAAGTCATGGAGGTCATGACCCCTCTTGCGCTGGGTTTATGTCGACTAACTATAATTATTATTCTAATTTTATACACAAGAAAATCCTTTTCTTTTCTACTACATGACCCCCCTGACTGGAAAGCTGGATCCGCACTGCATGATAAAAAAATTTTGCTTTCTCGTTCAAAACTACTCGAATTTCCTCACTCATGTTGTTATGCCTGAATCGAATTTTCAATTTGCTATCCAACGATACCAAAACGAATTCTGTGGCTCAAATGTTCTTGCGAAACTTCGAAAAAGCAGCGTTTTGTTTGAGTCGACTTTGCAACTCAAAAAAAAACACGCAGGTCTAAAACTTCTTGAAATTATGACTTTTTTGAGTACACTGCCTACATTTCCTTATCGATAGTTCACTTTCTAAAAAGGACGTTTAGTTCTCTCTAGAATGATGTAAAAATGAGCGTTCTTGCTCATTTTGCTTCCGAGAATGAGCAAAAACGGGACGAGACACACGAAATATTGGCATAATCTGCAATCTGAATATAGTTTTTCTTGAAATTTCTCTGGAGTTCTCGCTTTCAAAGTTTTTCAAAAAATTTATCTTTTTTGAAATATCGGGAGAATGGTACGATGTATTTTGGTGAAACTCGCTGTGAATGTGTTCTTATGTAAGATTCATAGTTTGGTGAAACAATCGACTTCAGCCGTTTTGGACAAGTGGTGAATTCTTGAGTGACGTGATATAAAATCTACCAGAACTTTTTATTTGGTGGATGGAATCAACTCATTTTTTTTTGGTTGATGCACTAATCATTTGTTCCCAATTTTGTGCTCTTTGTAAAATCTTGTAACATTCATAGTTTTTGCCCAAAAAATATGTCTGTTTTCTTGCCACTTAACAATGTTAGACATTAACGGCAAATATGCGCGTCTTCGCAAAACCCTAATACTTTGACCATTTCTTCATTAGAAAAGGTCATTCAAAACGAATTTGTAAGATTGATTGACAATTATTTTATTATGCCTCGTATCACGATATTTGCAATTAATATCTAACATTAAGTGGCAAGAAGACAGAATTTTTTTTTTTCGCAAAAACTATGAATGCTACAAGATCTTACAAAGAACACAAAATTGAGAACAAATCAACCAAAAAAAAAATAAGTTGATTCCATCCACCAAATAAAAAGTTCTACTTTGAGTTGATCAAAGAATTCTCCACTTGTCCAAAGCGGATAAACTCGATTGTTTCATCAAAATATGAGTCTTACATAACAACAAATTCACAGCGAGTTTCCCTAAAATACATCGTACCATTCTCCCGATATTTCGAAAAAGATAATTTTTTTGAAGAACTTAGACCATCAATAGCAGAGGAGCCAGACAGTTTTTGTTATTAAAAGTTAGGTCAGATCGTCTTATTTTGGTGCAAAGAATATCGCAGTATCCTTTTGTTCATGTGCTTACGAGACCTGTCCTGTCTATGTATAGCAATCAGAGGAAGTTTTATTTTTGAATTTGAATAAGCTTTTTAGTCAATTGAAACCACCGTTGTCATAATAGAAACCTTTTTTGCATTAGAATGAACGCAACATGTACGAACCGGTAGTAACCAGATGTATCACTCCCACCAGCAACGTCCAGCGCGCCTGCAATTATTCCAACCTTATCCAGATCGGCAACTTCCAGCCCATGGATTTGGCCAACTGCAACGAAGGCACCGGAAACAACAATAACAAGGAGGCGGTGCCTCCTTTGAAGCCCCCCAGACTGTTCCAGACCAGGCGCAGTCTCAGAAACTCCTTCTCAACAGGTCAGTAAAATCAGCACATTTTCTGATCAGCAGTTCTGATCCCAAGTTTGCGCACATGCAGAGCAGTGCAATAAGAATAAGAAGCGTGGAATTTTTGGGCCACCCTGAAGGCAAAATTCGATCCGTCCAATAGTTATTGTCAAAAAAGAAAGGAATGAATTTGTGGAAATTTTGAGCAAAAAATTCATACTTTTTTTAACAAAATTCCGCCACTGAGTGGTTTTCTTGGGGCGATTGCGATGTACAATCTAGTCTTGCTAAATCTTTTCAAATCTCCCGGTAGCTGCCGGTTGTTATTCATCCTGCAATTTACCGATAATCTGTTTAACAATAAAATCAGCGACGTGTGGTACCGCGTTGTGCAACGATTATAATAATCAGGTTCTGCTGATTTCCAGCGGAACCGTTTTGAGTCGCGTTGCTTTACCACACTTGGAGCTGTTGGTTCTCAGCAGTTTTCGAAGCCCTGTGCATCACCTGCCAAAGGGCTTCTAAAACTTCTCAGCCAGCACGATTAGATTCTCTGTTGTCACGTGCAGCAGGTTGTTTCTGGTTTGGCCAAATTTTCACAGGAAGGTTCTAAGCAAACATTACAGTTCGTGATAATTGAATGTGATCAAACAGTTTAGTGCTCGCGATGTTAATTTTTTCATGGTTTTTCCGGTAAAAAATGCGCATGTTAGAGTGAGTTAAATTACAAAGTGTCTAGGTAAGAGCCTTGAAATTTTTTTTGCAATATTTACGTAGATAATCGAGTCCTCGTAAAGGCGGCCCAAACGGCTAGGAAATATACAGGGTCATAAATCACGTAAACGTACTAATCTCCATATATGACGGCAGATTATTTTATTTCAAAATCAGGTCTATACCGGCAGACACAAAAAAGTTATTATTATTTAAAAATTAAATATTAGTGCCACGTGGCGCTCTCTGTAAACTCACGAAAGCTTGGATATTATTGGATGTGGTATTGCGATAATTGTCTTAAAATATAGACTTTTATTACAATATCTTAAGAGTTGCGTGAATTATTTTAAAAAAATGGTGTGCGTCACGGGACGCTCGACAGAAGTGATAACTTCATAAATTAATAGAAACCATAAAATATTGAACTTGTTTAACGCATGATGTCACTAATAATTTTATTTTATAATTTTAATATTCTTGTTAGCCTAATAATTTATAAATGGATCAGGAATAGGTAAAATTTAATTTAATTTCCTTTTGAATGTAAAATATCTTTCTTTTGTTTTTGCAACATTTAACATATATTTGGTATGCCAAATATATGCCAAGGCTTAAAGTAGCAACAACGCTACACATAGAAACTGATGATGGTGGAAAACACCGAAACGTATTTTAATTGATAAATAGACAATAAATGACTGAAGCCCAGGAATTCATTTTGATTTGGGATTCTGTAAAAATGTAAATCTATGAAGACCTAAATTGGACCAATTTACGAGTCAATTGCCGGTTCAATTTAGGAAACCGTGATCAAAAACTAAACGTCCCAAGCCTCAGGCCTCAGGCGCGAAGAGGCCGGAG